AGCAATGCCCATGTGTAAAAGCAGCCAATTTTAAGAAGTATCTGTCTTTACATATAAATAATTAGATGCCTTACTTGCATAGGTATGTGGCCTACTAACTTCAATGAAAATGACCACTTTTTTTGTTTTTAGTCCCTTTCCCACAAAAACACACAATCTAGAGCCTTTGAATCTTACATGTGAAGGAAAATATTTGTAAAACTACATAGAAAAGCCACATAAAATTGCTATTTAGGCTAGATGATACCATGTGTCCATCAACGTGGCGTTTCTAGGTAGGGTTTAGGTTTAAAGAAGCCATTAAAGGGGACACCATGTTAAAAGGGCGAAAAGACTATACAATGTTAAAAAGAGAGAAAAGAATATCTTCTCGTAAACTGAACCAAATGGTGCAAGACTATAATATATGAGATGAACCGCATGGTGCTATACTACATTATGGTACCAGAGAAAATATAAAGGGAAACTTCTACCGCTATACTACATTATGGTACCACAGAAAATATAAAGGGAAACTTGTACCGTACATTAGTGGTGCATGCGACAGGGAACACCATACGAGGAACTATCATCGATACCTAAGGATGCACAGTGGAGAATTATCAATGGAAAAGTTTATATAAGGTTGAGGTCCAACTAAGGCGCCCCTCAAAAATTCATTTTATTTTTTATGTCGAACAACCCTCAAGTTTGATCATTTCGACGTTGAGATACATGAACATAGGATAAAAATAAAAAAAAGTACTTAGAGTTTGCAATGCATTATCTAGATGGTCAGTTTTTAAGATTTTAAAGCGTTTATAGATCTGCTTGATCTACATTATTTTCAAAGCTTTAAATTTTATAACTAGAGATGAAAATAAAATTTCAAGCAATCATGAAAATATTTAGTGCTAAAACAACATCTTTCAATGCTATTTAAAAGTGCGCCTTACTTTGATTGTTTAGATCCAGACTAGTATGATTTAATTCTTTCACGTGTCAACAAATCAGGGACACAAAACTACCAGACACTTGAGATGTCTGTACACTTGGTCTTGTTCTTTCTTTTGAAATGTAATCCGAAAAAAAAAGAAAGTACTTAGACGTTGCCCCTTATTCAAATAATGTATGAATGTATGTATAGCACTCCTATCTGTAATCCACAGTCACATATTTATATTTGTGGCCATGTAACATAGCACGGTACCTAATAGATACGCAACACCTCCTCCACCCATCCCAAAAGGAACGTGGGTGCCCCTATAGTGTAAGATATATGCTGCACAGATAGGGCAAGGGCATGTTTGGATGAACTCTTTGTCAATGATAAGTCACCATTTCAATAAAAGTAATTATATGTTGTTTGACAATATCTATCTTAAAGTTATTTGGGGTAAACTTATATATAAATTTATCGCTTTAAAAAATTGATTTTACTTTATTCAAACTTTCAAAAGAATTTGCCGAAAATCACAAGTTTTAACTAGAAATAAATAAAAATAACTTAAAATTTTAAAAAAATTAAATGCATATATAATATTATAAATAACACGTTAGCTGTAAAAAATAGCAAATAATATTATCTACAGTATATTAATATGATATAACATAATCTATTTCAGATAAATTTAATTTTCAAGCAAATAAGCCCCAATACCATACTCACCACGAGAGCGATCGATATTTTTAAACTTTCAAAGCACAGTATTTCCCGTTGTGCAAAACACAAATTGCCCCATTAAACATCTCATAGACTTTAAATACGAAAATACTGTAGGAACCAAGTACAGGTATTGGGCCTAAGCTTTGAATGGACGGTGGAGATTCTCCCAAGCAATCACAGCACCATAGGTTTGGGCCGTCCATAAAAAGGTTTGGGCTCATTCGTAATCCTCGCGTCGCGTTATAAGCCTCTCATCGTGGCAAGTCACATCGCATCAAGCACCAAGCGTGACAAGGCAGGTAGTCAATTTTCTTTAAAACCAATAACTTCATTTCATGAACTCGGCGGGCGATATGTAGCGTGATCCCTTGACGGAGCATACTATATATACACTCCAAGGACAATACTCTTAGTTTGCTTTTCTTTTCCAATCTCAATTTTTGGTATCCACTTTAGGATCAATGAGAATTTTGAAATATTATTATTTATCCCTTAAAATCATCTGAGAAGTTTCCTTTTGTTTTTTTTCGTGTCGTCTCCAGGTTTACTTCCCAAAAACATTGGGATCATAAAATATGCGATTTTAACCTATAGAGAGTGTACACCATGCTCCGGCGGGAGCATAAAATCATGTGGCTCAACTTTTAGGCAATTTGCAGCGCCAGGAGGTAGGGTCACCGCAACCTGGTCAAGGTCATTTATCATATGAAAAAGGATGCGAGAGTGAGATGAATGCATGATTTAGATAGAGAGAGAGAGAGAGAGGCACTTATC